GAGAGGCCACCTCCTCCCAGTCTCCTCTGATCTTCCCCATGGGGTTCAGCCCATTTCACAGAGGAATAAAACAAGGCGGCCGAGGCAAAGCCACAACAGGGGGAAGGGACTCAAACCTGGGTGTGGGCCCAGTGCCTGGACCAGGGACAGGGGAGACGCTGGCCTGTGGCCTCCCACTCCTCCCCCAGGACCCCGCCCCGGAGCTGGCTCGCCCCTGGCGTGGGTGACGGTATGTGGGTCAGGGTGTGCCCCGGGCAGCAGCACGGGTGAGACCGGTGGCCGAACCGCGGGGCTGAGGGTGGGGGCTCTCGGTGATGCTGTGTGGCCGGGCAGGACAGTCCCCAGCCCCAGCCGCGATCAGCTTCTCCAGCAAGGCCCGGTGCGGCGTCAGCCTATTCTGCAGGGCAGTAAACTGAGGCCCAGAGGCCTCGGAGGGCTCTCGGGACCCACTGCGCTCTTGACCCCAACCAGCCGCATCTGAAGCAGAGGATCAACTGGCATCGGGCACAAGGTGGGCTGGGTGGGCTGCGAATCTGCAGGGTGCAGGGTCTGAAGCCCCCGACTTCAGTTTCCCGAGAGGAGACGGAGCTCAGCGAGGCGCCGTCGCCGCCCAAGGTCACCAGGGAAGCAGGCGCACGCGGCCTCCGGGTGCCCAGAGCAGCAGGGGCAGGAGGCGCCGGGCATCGGGCAGACGCGGGGCCGCCCACCCAGGGGCCGCCCACCCAGCCCTGCCGCCAGGCTCCTCCCGCCAGATCCTAATTTATCCGATTTATTTTCATCGCTGGGAACAGATGCTGGACCCCCCCCCCCAGGGGGAGGGACCCCCGAGTCCAGGCTCCTGGCCTTCCAGGGCCGGCCAATCCCTGCCAGGCAGGGGACTCCACAGTCACCTACTTCCACGATTGCGACCTCGGGGTCCCTACAGAGGCTGCCGTGGAGAGACGCCCACTCTGTCCTGAAGGGGGCCGCTGGGACTGGAGTCTGGGGGGGCGGGGCCCCCGATCCTCCAGCTGCCAGACCTGGATGGGGGTTCACGTGGAGAAGGGAAGCGAGTTTCATTTCAGTCCCTGGGGTCTGCAGGGCGGCGCTGGAGAGGAATCAGGGTCCCCCCTCGACTCCCGGGGTGCAGGCTGCGAGGGGCGCGGGGTGGGTGGGGACTCGGCTCTGCAGCCCCGATCTAGACCAGCACGGGGCTTGGAATAAAGAGACTGGGGCGGGGTCTCGCCACGGAGCCACTCGCTCGCGCTCGCTGTGGCCGGGAGAGGGGTCTCGGGAGGGGCCTCCGTCTCGGGTGCGGACCCCGATTGCCCGGGCTGGGGGGGGCTCCCGCTCCTCCGCAGCACCCATCCCTCCCCCGCCGCACCTCTCCCCGTCGCAGCCCCTGGGACGCGGGGCGCGGGGCCATCGCGGCGGGGACCCGAGGCCCAGGCAGCACTCACCTCCCGCTCTGCGCCCCGCGCCCCGCGCCCCGCACCTGCCGTCACGTTGACACCCGAGCTGCCTGCCCTCCCTCGGCGGCTGCGGCGCAACTCGGACGGCTCCGCCCAGGGGCGTGGCTGAGAAAGTCCCCGCCCCTGGGACGGCGCCGGGAGGTAGGGGCGGGCTTAGAGTCCGCGCGGCCTACCATTGGCCCATTCGGGCGGCCGCTCCACCAGCCCAGGGCGATCACTGGCTGAGCCAGAGAAGAGGTTTCTTTTTATCTCGACCCTCTATACACGCCACTGCCCGCAGTTTATTTGCATAATTTAAAGACACAGGCGCTGCTCCTTCCACCTGAAACCAGAGGGAAGACAGAAAGGAATAACCAGAGTTTATGAAAGCTCCCTGTGTGCCAGGCACTGAGCAAGGGTCACTGAATGGCCCTGGGAGGCTGAGTAACAGTGTTAATTCTCATTTTATACACAGGGGAGGCTAAAGCTCAGAGGGCAAGGACGTGCTTAGAAGGCCACCTAGCAGCCTGTGCATCCCATGGGCACCTTCACGCACGGCCCCGCGGGGTCCCGTGGCTTCGCTTGGGTGCAAGGACGCTGAGACTTCTTCCAGGCCCGCCGGTGCTCAATTCGAGCTCGGCTGGGTACGGATCTCCTTGGTGATCCTCCAGGAGGGAGGGGCCAGGCCTGGGACCGCGACCCCGGCGACGCCAGGGCCTGGCCCTGCAGGAAGCGGTCCCGGAGCTCCACGCACGACCTGCCCATTTCCCCTGCCCTGGCCCAGACGCTTCCTCGGCTTTCTTGGGGACCTCTTGTTTCTGCCATCTCCGCCAGACAATCTCTGATTCCCATGGCAACCATATATATATATGTGTGTGCGTGTGTGTGTGTGTAATTTTAGAGCAGTTTTATATTTACAGAATTAATATGAAGATACCAGAGAGAATTATTCTGTAGCCACACCCAGCTACCCCTATTATTAATAATTTACACCAGTATGGTAGTTGTCAGTTAGGAAGCTGACACTGAGACTTAACATTCACTGAAGTTCATACTTTATTCCCATTTCATGTTTTTCCTGAGTGTCCTTTTTTTGAGACAGGGTCTCACTGTGTACCCTGGCCTGGTCTTGAACTCGTGGCGATGATAGCTCTGAATGCCCCAGGAGCCCACAATGACATTTAGTTCTCACACCTCCTTATCCTCTTCGGGGCTGAAACACTTTCTCTGTTTTTGACAGCCTTGAATTTTTTGTTTATTTTGTTTTTGGTACTAGAGATGGAACCCAGGACCTCAGAACATGCCAGGCAGGCGCTCTACCACTGAATCACATGCCCAGCTCTTATTTTGAGACAGGCTCTTGCTAAATTGGCCAGGCTGTGCTTGAACTTGAGATTCTCCTGTGTCAGTCTAATGTATAGCCAAAATGACAGGCAAGTGCCACTGTGCTTTGCAACCGTACATTGGCCAGGTGTTTGGCTGCTGTCCTTCCAATGGGGTCTGGTCTTTCCTCATGCTGAGACTAAAGTGGGGATTTGGTGAAGCAGCCTGGTCACCGCAGAGCAGGGGTGCCTGTGTCTATGTGACTGGAGTGACCCCCAATCCTTGGGGTTGGGGCATTTGGCGGTTTCTGTCCCCATTCAGTGTGATCCCCTTGGGGAAGGAGTCGCTCTGTGAAGCCCACACAGCTAAGGAGTGGGGCTCTACCCATCCCTTGGGACTGAGGTGTGTAAATGCTTTGGGTTTTGCTGGGCGTAGTGGCACATGCCTGAAATCCCAGCTCTTGGGCGGTTGAGGCAAGAGGATCACTGTTTGAGGCCAGCCTGGGCGACATAGCAAGACCCTGTCTCAACCCCTCCACCCCAAATTCTTTGGAGTTCTTCTACCTGGGCTCTCTCTCTCCTTCTCCCTGCATGTATTGTAGTCATTTGCATCAGTATGGACTCATGGATATTTATTTTGTACTTTGGGCTATAATCCAGCACTACCGCTTTGAATTTCTTGCTCAAATGGCCCAGTGCTGGCCACTGGGAATACCTGGAGTTGGCGTCCCTGACACACTTGCCTCCTTGATTTTTGTTCTGCACACTCTGCTTTTCTGGCACTGTGGGTCCCTCTAGTATGTCTCCTTCCTGATCCTAGAATCTACCTTTCTCCCAAGGAGCAGCCCCAATGTTATAGATTTGTTTATTTGTGCATGTGGTACTGGGGCTCGAACTCAGGGCCTTCACACTGAACTATATCCCCAGCCTGTTTTTAGTTTTTATTTTTTGAGATAGGATCTTGCTAAACTGCCCAGGCTGGCTCTCAAGTCCTGGTTTGACAGGTGTGCGCTACCAATGCCCAGGCCAGCTTTCTTATTCCTGAGGCTGAAGGAACGGCACAGCCCAGAGAGGTTAAGTAACAGCCCCAAAGTCACCCAGCAGCCCTGCCAAGCCAGGACAGAGCCTGCGTTTCATGAGCACCCACAGGGTGTGGCAATGTCAGACTCTGTCCTGGCCACTGGAGCGTGGAAGGACACACAAGAGTGATGTACTAGGGACAGGGAGGTATTATAAAGGAATCATCTAGCACTCTCAGAGGCAGGAGGATCGCAAGTTCAAGCCTAGCCTGGGGAACTTATTGAGGCCCTGTCTCAAAATAAAAACAATTAGAAAAAGGGCTGGAGATGTAGCTCAATGGGGAGACCTTGGGTTCAGTCCCCGGTACCACAAAAAAAGAGGGGAATCAGGAAGGAGCAGAAGCAGAGCTCAGCTGACCAAGGGAGGGGAGGCTGGGGCTGCCCTGGGATCTCTGAGGGGGGAAGGAGGGGAGGGGGGTGGAGTTGTTGAGCGAGTAGCAAGGAGGCAAGGACGGGCTCCGGGCTCCGGAGGAGCAGCAGCAGTGGGCAGTTCTCAAGGACTGACATCTTCCCTGAAAGCCAACCAGATCCCATCCACCACGGCCCTGCCCCCCGCTCTTTCCCGCGTCCCTGTCCCCAGGATCCGCCCTCCCTGCCGCAGCTCCCTCCGCTGGACGCTGTGGCTGGCGAGAACCCAGCACCGCCGCCTGAGGAGTCGCTGATGGTGGTGTCCAGAGATGACCCTGCGGCCCAGAGGCCTGGGAGTGCCCCGAACTTGGCTGGATGGAGACGTCTCCCCTCCCCCTCCCACTGGCACCCTGTCTTGGCCAGCGCTGAACCCCAGCTCCCAGGAAGGTGTCTAAGCCAGGCTGCTCGGGTCCCCACACCTCGGGGGACTCCCCACGCTGCGCCCCGACTGAGGCCGATGCTGGGCCCCGTGCCTGGGTGGAAGGCAGACGGGGACGGGGTGACCGGTCACGGGGCCTGGTATGGGCCTGTCCTTCCAGGAAGGGACACGCAGTGCCTGAGGGGCCTCCAGAGCGGCGGGAAATCGACGTCAGTCCGAAAGTCACTTCGGTGGCATTTCCTTGGCTGCCCTCACAGATGAGACCCAGAAGGACAACGGCTGAGGGAGAAATCTGCGTGGCAAAACCTTCCGTGCAGAGGCCGCCACAGCCTGCGGTGCCCAGCCTGACTCCAGGACTGTGAGGAAAGGAGCCTCTTCTCTCTGAAGCCACGCACTCGGGCCCTTTGTGACAGCCACACGAAGTAGGCCAGGGCCTGGTGTCCCCTGCCTGGCTTAGGACATGGCGGTGCCTGAGCGTCCTGCGGCTGTGACAAATGACACGGTGTGGGCCTGAAACCAACAGGAGCTTCAGCTGAAACCCAGGGCAGCCTGCTGCTCCTTCTGGGGGCCTTGGGGAGGAGCCTTGCCCCTCGCCCTGCCGAGGCTCGGCCTGTGGCTGGCTGTGCTGTGACCTCCACTCCCCAGTCTCCGCCACCATCTTTTTGTTCTTGTGGTGCTGGGGATGGAACCCAGGGCCTCGCCAGGCTGGGCCAGTGCTCACCACTGGGCCACATCCCGGCCCCTGCCACAGCCAGCCTGGCCCTGAGCATGGGCGGTGGGAGGTGCACAGGGGCCCCAGACCCAGGCCTAGCCGAGTCGCCCATGGGTGGAAAGAACAGAGCAAGCAGAGCACTGGGAACAGTTTATTGGGGTGCAGGTGACTCTCAGGACAGAGGTGACTGGGGTCATGGAGGACTAGCACCAACCTGGGCAGGGAGAGGTCATCCTGCCAGGGCCTGGTGCTGCAGCTCCTCGGACCCCTCTTGCACCATTGCCCATCCAAGGTAGGGGTCAGGGTCACCTGCAGGCGGGACACATGGACCCCCGTGACCAGGAACTCTCCATGGACCTGGCCCAGCCCCGCTGGCTCCTGGTTTCCCAACATTCAAGGCCTGGGCAGCCTTGTCTCTGACCTCATTTGCCGCCTTGATGCCTGGAGCAGGTGACCAGCGGGTGCCTTGTGTCCCTCCTCCCCTCAGCACCCAAAGGAGCATCTTACGCACTCCAGGCCTCTCCCATGCCGCGACCCTGCTGAACTCCCCTCACTCCGGTCTCCTTTCCCCCTGAACGCACCCAGCTCCTCCTGCCCCTGGGCCTTTGCACTGCCCCTGTGTGTCCTGCACTTAGCATGTCCCCTCACCTGAGCTAGACCTGAACCTGCTTGAGTGTGTGGGCCATGTCCAGTTGCTCAGTGTGCAACAGCAGCCCCTGACCTGGAAGCCCACACCCCGCAAGGCTGTGTTAACACCCTGCCCTGTGGATGCAGTGGGAAGGACTCCTCATCCATCAAGCCCTCCTGGGCACCAGGCCCTCTAGATGCAGGTGACCGTAATCACTGCCCAGGGTTCTGGGAGCCAGAGCAGGTTTTTATTTTGAGACAGGATCTCACTAAGTCACAGAGTTGCCCAGGCAGGGCTTGAACTTGCGATCCTGCCTCAGCCTCCCAGAATGCTGGGATTACAGGCATGCACCACCAAGCCTGCCACACGTACAGTCTTTTTTCTTGCCCTTATTCCCTAAAAATAGCACAACAACTCCACACATAGAATATCTGTTGTCCTGGGAATTCTGTCACCTAGGAAGGATGCAAAGGCCCCAGGAGGGCGGGCTTGGGTTCAGTGCAAATCCCACACTCCTCTGAAGAAGGACCTTGGTATCCACGAGGGTTCTGGAGGTATCTCCCGGGGACACCAAGGGGCAAAGGGTTCGGTTGAACCATTTGCATCCGGTTCCCAAGTCCCCCAGGATCCATGCTAGGCTGAGGGACTTGGCTGCTGGCCGTCCTTGTCTCTGGGATGTGTCACAGCTGAAGGACACCAAAGAAGATCAGCTTGGGGAGAGGTGACAGGGAGACAGGGGGCCAGGCCAGTGGCTGATAGAACCTGGGAGATCAGGCCCCACCCCTCCAACTCCTGCTCATCCTACAAAACCCGACTCCAAGGTCCTCCCTGCCCTTCCAGACCCCTGGAGCCCATGTCCCTGCAACCTGGTCCTGACATGACGAGGCTGGGCTGTCAGCCCCAGCTCTGCTTCTCTGGCCTGGGAGCCCTTGAGGGGGGTCCAAGGTGTAAGCAAGTAAGGAGAGCCCCAGTGGGATGCCCCAGGGCCCTGCCCACTTTCTGATGCAAAATTCCCCGAAGCGCCAGAAGCCACAGCCAGAAGCGTCCTCCTGTTGCCTCCATCCCCAAGTCAGTTCAGACCAGCTGTGAGTCAGGCTGAGGCCAGGACCCAGACAACTCTTAACCTGGCAGCTGCACCTTGGAATTGACAGCAACCAGGGGGCCCCATCTCATGCCCTGATTTGCTGCTGGAGCCTTGGGGGGCGGCACCTCCTTCTTGGAGACCGAGAGCCCCAGCCTGCAGAGGGCCAGCTAGGGGGGTGGGAGCAAGCGCACCAGGGGCGGGGCCTGCAATGGGCAGAGCAAGGGCTCGGCCTGAGTGGGGCCTGAGTCAGGGGCCCAGAGCTTCCCCAGGTCAGTTCCCAGAGCCCAGACTTAGGGTTTCAACACAAGCATCGGCCCTGAGCCCAGAGGCCAATGCCCCTCTATCGCTGGTCAGCCCTTGCCATCCAAATACTGCCCCAGCCAGCAGGGGAAACTGAGGTAGAGAGAGGGGAAGTGGTCCCCGAGATCATGCCAAGGTCAAGAACAGACAGGATGTGCAAGGGGGTCTGGAAGTCACCAGGGCCTGCTGGGAGAATGAACCGCGGACGGACACTTCCTTCCCCTCCTGCAAGAGTTGGGCCAGCCAGGGCGGGGTGCAGGCGATCCCCAGGCCCACCGGTGGCCACCCCAGCACCCTGGGCCCTCGTGCTGGCTGGGGCCTCCGGACCTCACTCTCAGCTCCCCATCTGCTGGGTGTCCGTGCATGGGCTCTGCAGGGACCTGTGCCCACCTTCCCAGGTCCTGGATCCCAGGGCACCCGCCCTGTCCTCCACCTCCCTCACTTTGGGTCCATCCTCTAGCATCCCCTAGCATTGGGCCTGACAGACAGATGCCCAGGAGGTAACAGGAAGTGGAACAAAGCCCAGCTCCATTTTGTACCCTTCCTTAGAGCTTGGGTACAGTGTGCCAATCACGCAGGAGAAACTGGCTTTACCTTGTCCATCTCCCCCTCCTACGAGCTGAGGACGCCACGATGCCACTGACTAATTTTCAGGATTTACAGGGGCAGCTGTAACAGCTTTCCCAGCTTTACCGCGTCCAGCTCCAGGGGCGCCGGAAGCCCCGGGGCCCCGGCCTGACCCTGTTATCCGCGCCCCGCCCAGGCACGGCGTCTGTGGAGACCGAACTGTCCCGAGCCTGAGGGCGCCAGGTCTTGCTCTGTAGTCCTGGCTGGCTTCGAACTACGTAACCCAGGCTGGCCTTGAGCTTGAACGATCTCCTGCCTCAGCCTCTCAAGTCCTGGGACGCCAGGCTGCAGAATCTCGTCTGTTTTAAGCCCAGGGTCACAGCAGCAAGGGCCCGCACGGCCGGTGACAAGCCCGCCGCGGGAGGCGCCCACAGTGGGCCCTGCCGGTGTCCCCGTGACTCCCCTTCCTGGGTCCCACCCCCAGGCCTGGTTGGTGCTCCCCCCCCCCCCCACGGGCGGGCTGGGGAGGCCTGGGCCAGGGCGCGGACTCACCGGGCTCCTCACTACCGAGGGCTCCCGCGCGGTGCTGCAGGGGGGGGTCCCGGTGCCGTTGTTCTGTCCAATCCTTCTCGCTCCGCTTCCGGTCCGCGAGCGCAGCGCCGGGAGCCTGTGGGCCCCGCCCCTTAAAGGGACGACGCCAGAAAGGGCTGAGGACCCTGCCCGGAAGCCCCCCCTCCGCTTAGTCAGGCCTTGGCAGATCTTGGAGATCGGGCTTGGGGGCTGTTGAAGGGGTTGGGGACTCCAGGCTCTGTTTTGGGATGTCCCTTCCAAATGACCATTCATTCCCCGCCCCGCCCCCGCCCCGGCCTTGTGCTGGGGATTGAACCCAGGGCCTTCACACTGAGCTATATCCCCAGGCCTTTAAAAATTTTTTCAGACAGGGTCTTGCTAAGTTGCCCAGGCTGGGCTTGAACTTGCAATCCTCCTGCCTCTGGGTCCAGAGGGGATGACAGACATGCATCAGCACATCCAGCTCATACATTCATTATTCAACAAGCTCTGCCTATGGCCACTGGCTGATGGGCGCTCGCAGCTTCCTAGGTCAGGGCTTGCACAGAAAAAAGAAATTGATCTTATAGCCAGGGCTCCTGGGGATGTGTAGGCGTTTGCCAGGTGTGGGTGTGGGGCAGGAGCAGGGGAAGCAGAAGTTACACCACGTGGAGTGTTGGAGGTGGCAGGTACACGGGACACATCCAGAAGATTTCGGACTAGGCCAGGAATGGATTTATTTTGCGCCTACCATGTGCGAGGCCCTTCTACTCCACCAGCCCATAGAATCCTCTTCCTGGGGAGTGAGCGCCCTGTTGCTGGAAGCATACAAAGCAGATGGGGACAGGCACGGGCAAGGCCCAGCAGTCAGAATCAGGCGGTGCTGCTGCTGACCAGGGCACTGTCAGGCCTGATTCTGGGCCAGCTGCTCTGCCCCTCTTTGAGCCCCTGAAGACTCCGGCTTAAGGGGTTGAACTAGGCAGGAAATATCTCCAAAACCACGGAGCCAAGCTCTGGCCGGGCAGGCTGGGAGGTGGGTCCTGTGGGTCCAGGGGGCGCTGAGAAACAATTTCTCTCTAAAAGACAACAGTCCTAACCTTTGGAGGTCTATTTTACCCTCTGGCGTACTGCTCCTGGATATCTGGGTGGCTGTTCTTTGGCAACAAGAGTTAAAAACCCTTGACAGCAGAGCCTGTGAACCTGTGCACGCCTTCACCCCAGCCCTCTGGAAGGCTGTGGCAGGAGGATCACAAGTTGGAGCTCAGGTTGGGCAACTTAGTGACTTAGCAAGACCCTGCCTGGGGATGTAGTTTAATGTAGAGGCCTTGAGCTCAATCCCTCCCACTGCTAAAGCCCTTCGCAGCGAAACTGGTGAAAGACACCCTGGTCTGGGCTCCTGAGGGCGGGCCCATCCCTTTCTCCCAGAGTCCTGGGCCATCTTCTCTAAAAGATCCAGATGGACCTCCCAAACACCTCCTTAGCAAAGGTGAAGGCCTTCTGCCTGCTAGGTGAAAGTGGTCTGCTCAAAACTGCAACTGTTTCCCGGCGTGGTGGCCAGCCCTTGGGAGGCTGAGGCGGGAGGATGGCCACAACTTTAAGGCCAGCCCGCGCTACCTAGGGAGACCCTGTCTCAAGAAACAAAAAACGTGCAACTGTAAGCATAAACTAATTTTAAGCCCAGTTCTGGCGTTCCTGGAAAACCTGCAGGGTGCTAGCCGATCCAGCAAAAAAGGCAGTCTTTAGGCAGGTTTCTCCCTTCCCCACACTTCAAACTCTGCTACGGACTCCAGCCTCTCACCCACGAGGCGATGCCTGTCTGGGACACTCGCCCCTGCCAGCCCTGATCCGACAAACCCTGTCTCTCCCGCCCTTCTCTCGCCTGTGTTCAGGGCCCTCTGTCGGCGCCCCGGGGGCCAGTGGTTCATCCTGCCCGGTCTGTCTCAGGGGCTGGGTCCTTTCTGGGCTCGAGCTTGTGCAGGGCAGGGCGGGGAATCTGGGGCCGTGGTCGAGGGAAAGGGGCTCCAAGGCCGGCTCACCCACCATTCGTTCCTGGCTTCCCGGTGTATTCCCAAGCCCAGGCGCTTCGGAGCGAAGTTCTACTCGGCTTCTGGCCGAGGCTGTGAGCTCCGACGGTTGGTGACTGAAGTGGTAAGATGCATCTCGACCGATTAGGGGAATAGCCCCCGTTGGCTTTGGGGAGCCCCTGTCCTGAGTGCGCTGGAGCCTGGCTGTTTCTTGTCCCGCAGCGCCCCCTACTGGGGGAATAGGGGCGCAGTCCCGGGTCTGGCGCTTCCCACACTGGACTCAGATCCCCGTTGCCCGCACTCGTCCGCCCAGCTCCGGGTCTGTTCTCAGAACAACAGCGCTCAGGCCAGGAGATGGCTTTTATGTGGACATCAGGACCTGGGCCTTCAGAATTGCTGCTCACTTTTGTCTTCTTCCCGGCAGGAGCAAAATCTCTCCCTCCCCACCAGATGTAAATGAAGGCTCAGAAACAGTGTCTTTTGATTGGTCGTGCCGGTATGTAAATGAAGGATTGGGGATAGCACCTTGCGATTGGTACTGTGAATATCACCAGATGCAAAGGAAGCATTGAGAACATGGCTTTCTGACTGGTCAGGAGCTGTATGCCTGGAGGGTTTCGGGTCCAGAGTTGTGCAAATGTCTTCTACGTTTAGAAACCTGTTTGTTGGCTGTGGGGTTTTATGCATTCCACTTGGTTGGTTGTACCATTCGCCCCAGCTCCAATCTCCTATTTCAGGCTCAGGAATATCTAGTTGCAGAATGCAGTCACCTTAGATACCCAAATCCACGGGTGATAAGTTCCATCTGCAGAATGGCTGAGGATTTGCACAGAACCCAAGCACACCCAGCCGTAGACCTGAAACTGACGTACCTTGCCAGAGACAATGGACATGCCATGAGTGCTGTTGCTTTAGTGCCTTAAGGAATGACAAAAAAACCACTTGTGCATATTCAGTACAGACACATTGTCCCACATATGTTTGATCTGAGTGAGGCTTTTGGGAGGTGACTGGATCATGGGTGTGTGATACTGGATTAGTTCCCTGATGGGTTTATAGCTGGGTGTGATGCTGGGGGGGGTGTGTGTGTGAAGCCTGGTGGGAAGAAGTGACTCACTGTGGGTGTGGCCTGCAAAGATATATATGATACATATATATTATATATACATATATATATATATATCCCTCCTCCTCCCTTGATCCCTTTCTCCTTCCTGCCTGTCATCCTATGGACTGTTTCTCCTTTGCAATGCCCCTCAAGCCCCTCTGTTATGCCACCCTGCCTTGAAGCCAGCCAACCGAGGACTGACACCTCTACAAACTGAGCCAGAATAAACCTCTCCTCCTAGAATTTGTAGGTGTGCTGCAACTTATAATGCATATAATGTTACTTGAGAATAGGATAACAACTGGAAGGCAGCCTTATGTTTCATAATCAAACTTTGCTAATCTCATATTCTTTTTTGTTGTTGTTTTTTTGAGACAGGGTCTCACTATGTAGTTCAGGCTAGTCTTGAAATCACAGTGATCCTCCTGCCTGTGTTGACAAGGTAAATTTGCCAACAGAGGGGCCCCTTTAATCAGATTTTGGGGCTTGATCCAAGAATAGAGCCACTACACACCACTCCAAGATTTGAAATAGTTTAATAGAATGAAGGAAAAGATCAAGGAAACACAGGGAATTAGAAAGTCAAACACAGGGTACAATACATCACCAGATCGGGAAGCAACACTCGCTGTAACCAGGTTGTGTTCTGGGACCTGCAGAGTGGTCCAGTGCAGCATCTCCCTCTCTCTGCCACTGCTGTTATTTTTGTACCATGTGAGACAAAGGTGGCCCTGTGCCAATAGGCATACATGATTTGGTGCATTGTTTCGACTTCCCAGACCTGGCTGGGGGCTGGGGGTGAATTCCAGCTGGGATGTTCCGTTTTCTATCAGTATCTCCTGTTCCAGGGAGGGTGGCCAGTCTTCCCAGGAACAGGCATGTATCAGGGTCATTCTTTGGTCACATGAATCTGACTTAACTCTTTACTATCATGGTTCCTTCACTGCCTCAGCTTTCTGAGTGCTGGGATCACAGCATGCACACCATGCCCAGTTTAATCTCATATTCTTAATAAGAGGTTTATTTGGCTCACATTTGTAGAGGGTTTAGTCTGTGATCAGGTCCCTCCAGGGCAGGAAGATCAAGGCAGGAGAGGGAGCACAATAGAGTAAAGCTGCTTAGCTCATGGGAGCTGGGAAGCAGAGTAGGTGATCAGCACCAGAGAAAGGTGTAAGGGAACAGAAATAGTCTGCCGAGGCTAGGTATGCACACTTGGAATCCCAGCACTTGGGAGGCTGAAGCAGGATGATTGCCATGAGTTTGAGGCCAGCCTGGGCTACATAGTGAGTTCAAGGTTATTCTGAACTGCATAGTGAGACCCTGTCTCAAACAAAACAAAACAAAACAACAACAACAACAACAACACCCCCCCCAAAAAACCCAAAAAACCCAAACCAAAAAAACTCCAACAAAACAAAACCCCCAAAAGAAATAGAGCACAGGGTCACACCTCCATGGCCCACCCAGCCCTTGGTGCCTTCCATAACAATCAATTTGACAAGTAAGTTTAACCATCACATTCCAATCCCTATCAGTATGAAAACCACAAACATCAACTTAAACCATTCTTGAACTGTGAATAAGGCAATAACAAGTTTCAAATTCTGCCTAACATGATACAAGTATCCTGCATAACAACAAAAAATGCAATAATCCCTTCCCCAAAGTCAACAATTCTAGTACTTCTCAATAGTTCAAGTCAGTCTCTTTTGAGACTCAAGGAAAACTTTTATGTATAATCCTCTATAAAATTCAAAAAGCAAGTTACTTGATTTCAATATGAAATGCTACAGAATAAACATTCCCATTCCAAAATGGCAAAGAATCAGACAAAAGGTAGACAGAAACCCAGAAAGGCAAGCATGAAGTGCCAGAGCTCCATGTCTGGCATCTAGTACACATGGTGGTGAATTGGGAGTTCCAGAAGGGTAGGGCAGCCCCATCTCTTTGCCCTTGGCAGTTGAAGCTCACAGGGCTTCTCTCTTGAGTTGGCTTAAGAAATAGCTCTTTTCATCAGGAGACATTGTTTGTTCCTAGGATCTCCAATTTCCTTACGTCTGTACAGCACCTTTGGCTTTATTCCCACAGTTTCAGGCAAGCACTTATCGCAGAAGCACTTTGCCTGGCCTTGCAGTTCTTCCTTTAAAATCTGGATGGAAGTGCTTGCTTCTATACTAAAATCTGGGTAGAAGCCTGCCTGACTCCACAACCCTTGAATTCTTCATACCAAAGCAACCACCATCATGTGGCCGATGCTAAGATCTGCTGCCAGGTTGAGCAGTAGCCAGGTCCCTTTGAAACATGGCTGCAGCAGCCTCTAAGTGCACAGATATCTGAGCATGGTGAAGGGAATTTTCAGTGAATCAATTCCCTAGGCAGTCCTTCTTGAGGGGGGTTCCCAGGCCCTCTCTTTCCAAATGAAAGGTTTATATTTTTGTAATCTTGAGCCTGCAATGGGTGAGATCATGCAGATTACTAACATGCCTTCAAGGCATCTTCTTGTTCCCATTCAAAGTACTCAGTTTCATTTAATGGTTCTAATCTCTTCATCAACACACATCATTTATCTTCAAGTTTACATGTGTTTCCTTTCAGTCCAAAATTTAAATTTTTCAAATCTTTCTGCCCACTGTTGACTCCCAATTATCATTATAAATCTAAAAGTAGCCATTAAAAGTCATAACACTGCTTCAACATTGGGCTGCCTTGAAATATTTTCTCCACCAGATCAGTGTCCCAGGGCATAGGGAAAATGTAGACAAGTTCTCTGCCACAATGTAACATGCATAGCTTCCCTTACTGTCCACATTTCTCTCACCATTTAGGTCTTCTGAAACCTTACCAGAGCCAAGAAGCGGGATTTGAAAAATAAATATTAGAAGTCAAAATGACTGAAAGTGTGTACTAACTGAAACAAATGATGTGCGTTACCCTAGGGATGTGTCCTACACAAAGGAGGGTGATCAAAGATGGCCTCAGGGTTCACAAACAGAAATGGAATCACACAATATATGACAGAGTACAAGTAACTGTGCCATGAATTAATTAAGAAACAAAAGAACTGTTTTGCCAGTTACAAGGTGGTGGAGGGTTCTCCCAGAATTCAGAAGAAGGCTTGGGAGGCCAGGCAATATGCTCCTGAGAGGCCAATGCATGAAGCTATGAGAAGAAAAATGAAACTGCAGTAGAGACCCCTGGAACTTGGAGAAGCCAGGAACAGGGGATGTCTGAGGAAAGTTGGGAGGAGTGAGCAAAGCCATCCAAGACAGATGCCAGGAAGGTGACAACCACTGTCAGTGCTGTAGGGTTGGGGCTGTCCAACCCCCCTGGGGTTCACACTTCATCCTCACAATTTGCCCTGGGTGCTGGACATGGAGATACAGGATTTAAAGTTTGTCCTGCTGTTTCTATCCCCCCATTTATCCTTTTTGGAATGGGAACGTTTCCCCTGTAACATTGTGTCGAACCATTTAACTTTCTTTTGATTTTTACAGGGGCTCACAGCTAAGAGTTTTCTTTGAATCTCAGAGGAGACTTTCAACTTGGAGTTTCCAGCAGTGCTGGAACTGTTAAGACTGCAATGACATTGTCACTGAAGTCACACACCCATGGCCCACTTCTTTCAAATAGACCCCACCTCTTACTATCCCATTCAATAATAAACTCATCGATAGGTTAATCCATTAATGCATTAACAATCCAATAACTTCTTCAGAATATTCTTTTTTTAAAATTTTGTTTTATTGGTACATTTTAGGTGCACAATATAATGACATTCATCATTGGAAATTTGCACCTTTACATAATCTCTCTTGGTTCTTATTTTTCCCCCT